CTTGTGCCGTGCGGTAACCGGCGCTCCCGGCTCCTCCTCAGGACGACGCTTCCTCTGGCGGATCGGGACTGTCCAGCGCAGCGGGTCGAGGTGTGCGTGCTCTCCGTCTGCTACTTGGGTTTTGCTCAGTTCACACTGACCTGGTGGCCTTAGTTTAATTCCTGGGATCGCAGAGTTCCAGAAAGGTGGAACAAGCGTGGCTGATGCTGGGCAACGTGACAGCGAGGGAGGGCGAGGAAAATTGTGGGGTGGGAGCTCTGCCTACAGCGGGATGGCTCAGAGAGCAGCAAGACAAGATAAAAAGCTTGTTTTTGTTTTCTTTATTCAAGGAGACCTCACTTGAAAAGTCCTTCGCTCTTCCCCTCTCTCGTTTCAGGCACATCTGCCCCGTCGCGACTCACAGTTTCCCAGGAAGTTTACCCAGGCGGCAGCGTGCAGGTCTGGTCCGATTACCTCAACGTGCACTTGCATCCCAAGAGCATCTATGTCATCCATCAGTACATGCACGATGGGTATGTCCTAGAATTTGTGGTCCAGAACAGGATCTTAGTTGTGCCTTTAAGAATTAAGAGGGTATAAAATAAGCTTTTCCCCCATCCTTTTTTTCCCTTAGGGACTGTGATTGTCTAGAAGCCTTCGGGCAAGGCGAAACTCTTCTGCAGGATCCTGGCTGCATAGAGGAGCTGGAAGATCGGTTGCACTTCTACGTTGAAGAGTGCGATTATCTACAGGTTTGACAGCTTAGTCCAAAACCCCTTCTCTCTCAAGAAACTTCCCGTTCAAAATAAAGTAAAACCTCAGATGCTGCCATCATTTTACACAGGGATTTCAAGTCCTCTGTGACCTACACAATGGATTCTCTGGAGTTGGTGCCAAGGTGACAGAGCTGCTGTACGATGAGTATTCGGGAAAAGGAATCCTGACCTGGGGCTTGACTCCAGCCACGAGCAACGTGGGAGTAAGTAAACAGAAAAAAACAGGAACAGGTAGCACTTCATGCCCCAGCGAGATGAGACCATTTCTAATTTGCATCTTTAAGATTCAAATGTTGGATTTCTTTCCCCCAGGATTCTCGGAAGAATTTTTGCAGATTGATGAACACAGCCCTAGGAATTGTCCATCTTTCCCGTCACAGCTCGCTCCTTTGCCCCCTGTCGCTCAGTGGGAGTTTAGGAATCAAGCCACAGCCTCCTGTTACATTTCCGTATATCAGCTATGATGTATGTAGAAACAACACCTACCTTGGCTGGCTTTCATGTGTTTCAGATTTATCACTCCTGAGTGTTTTCTGCAGCTATGTAGTTTCAGCAGTGCTTTTTCATGATGGTGTTCAGCTAAGCAGGAAAGACTTTTTCCTGCTTTCCCATCTTTTTTTTTTTGTCCTCTTAAAAATATTAACACACTTCCTTTTTTTGTAGTTTTTGTTGGCATACTGCATTCAGCTTCAGCACTGAAAAAAGTGCTTTGCTGCATTATTGTTCACGAGGAGTACAAAACTCCAGCCTTGTCTGAGCACTAAGAAGCTATTGCTAAGGAAGCAAACGCAACCTATACATAAGAGCGCAATTTACCATATGTTTAAGTTAAATACACGAACTCATCTGGCCCTTGACTGATCTTCAACTGCTGTAACTGTTCCCACTGTCTCCCTCCATAGGCATCCCTTAACTACCACAGCAGCGCGATCTTGGCGGCAGCACTCGACACCCTCACTGCTCCGTACCGGCTCCGTTCCTCTCGGGGCTCCATGATGCACCTTGCTGAGACACTGAACTTCTCCGGGCGAAAGGTGAGGGCAGAGGGAGCAGCATCCTCACACCCGCCCGAGCCACGGCTGTAGGCGAGAGCTGGTGCTGTCACAGCCGTCCGTGCACACGGGCCGTGGGGAGCACGTTCCAGATCATTTGTCACCCCCTCTCTGGCTCGTAGGTGGTGGCTGCGTGGGCATCTGTTCCCTTTCCTGCCCTGCGCGGCTCCTCGCTCCCCGATGCTTTATGTGCCTACCAGCAGGACGTGCCCTGGCAGCTTCTGTCTTCATGTAGGGAGCAAAAGGCTGGCCCCTGTTTTGCTCAGTCTGTTGTGCTACGAGGAATTCGCAAAGGAAGTCACGTCAGGTAACTGGCGTTTGAGCGGTGTTGCTCCCTTCAGAACTCCGGCACACACCAATTTCTTAGAGAAGTCGGTCACGCTCCTGTGAAGTCAGCTGAATGGTGGAGGGGTGGGGGGGCGTCTTGTGATCTGGACAGTTTTGTAGCATTACAGCTAAAAAGCAGCGGAGTCACCAGTGTTTTCAGCTGGAAAACCAGGAATCTGTTTTCTTTGCTGCAGCTGTCCCGGAAAGCAGCCCGCTTCTCCACTGCATACTTGTGAGAGCACGGAGCAGGTTCTGCAGCGTTACTTGCACACTCTGTTTCCTGGGGCATTGAGGTTGGTCACAGTAGTTTACTTTTTTTACTATCATTTTTTTAAGAACAGGGAACACAAACTGGAAACTGAAGGCAGAGTTTTGAATAACTACATTCACCTTCTTTATTCACCTTCCTTACAGCACCTCCCACGTGCTTGCGCAGCCCTGTAACACCCTACCTCCGTACCCCCAGTTTTTTTCTCCTCTTCTGACCAGACAAGGCTTCCTCCTGGATGAACCTCCCAGTTCCTTGGCAGCAGGTAACAACCACCCCTTAAACGTACTTTGCAACAGAAGTAGATCACGTGGGGCAATAGGGTCTAACAAAGGTAAAAGAACTGTTTTACCAACCAACCCACCCCCAAAACAACCCACCACTCGAGTGCTTGTTGGGCAGAAAGTTAGGAGTGCTGAGCCACTCAAGTAAAACAAGGGCTTGTAAAGTAGAACAGGGTAGGGAAACAAGTTCTGCCTGGAGCATTTACAGTGTTTTTTCCCTGCAGCTGTTGAAAGCATCCCTGTCCTGGCAGCCCTGCAGTCCTCACCAGTTCTGCACACGCTCCTCTACAGCTTGTACAGGGACCTGCAGAAACCCAACACGCGTCGGCTGGCCAGCTTCTTCTCTGCTGGCGTTGAGCAGGATGACTTCCAGGAGGCCTTAGAGGAGCTGAGAACTCTGTCACAGTGCTATGACACGGGGTCTGAGGCAGATGAATCTGAAGATGAAGCAGATTCAGACTAACTCATCTCTATTACTAGGACAGGGGAAATAAGAATATCTTTAAGACCACTTTCAAAATAAAAGGAATGGCTTTAAAGATGGCCCAACTGCTACTTCCTCTTCATTTCAGCAAAATCCTGTTACAAAGGCTGGCTGAAGGGGTCCAGCTACTTGCAGTTGTGTTGTAAAGGAGCGGAGCTGCTTTTTGGGGCTGGTTTGGTTTGGTGGGGTTTTTTGGTGGGTGTTTTTTTTTTTTAAAAAACTTTGCAAAGTGAGTTTGCTCTGTTAAAATAAGACCACACAATAAATACAGAATTCAGATTGTAACTCCCCCTTGTACAATCAACACAAGGGGAAAACTCAAAGTCATAAACAGACATCTTATGATACAGTATTTACATGTTCTTTTCAAAGGCTGGTGGCCCAGTCTTCACCGCAGACTGACTTTGCTGATGAAGCTTCCCATGTAGGTTTTAGAGGATGTTACCACCCTAACAACTTTCTTCGTTCCTTTAGTTTGATACCGATGGAGAAGCGCAGCTTGTCAGAAGTGTAACAGGAAAGTGAGGTACTGCCCAAAGTACCTGCGCAAATGTTGCTCCTTTATCCACAGCACCAGTCTAGCAGCAAAGTGACAAACAACGCTCCTGATGCAGTCAGTAGCTTATCAGCCCCAAAAAGCCTCAGTCATCGGGTTCTTCCTCAGACAGCAGAAGATCTTTATCCGACAACTGGTCTGTGTTACTGGTGCTAGTTGCATCCTCCTCATCTTCAGAGCTCCCGTCACAGGACGTATGAAACAGCTTCATCAGTTCTCTGAACCTGTGGGATACCTGAGGAACAAGGGAGACCCAGTCACATAAAAGGTGGTACGAAATGGAAACTTCATATTGCAAAGTTCAGGGTGTTGGTGCTTATGTTAAAAAAAAAAAACCAACCCAAAAAATCACATTTTGTGCGAGATTCAATCACAAAGGGCAAAAGAAATGGAAGGGCACGGGGTTGTTCTGCTGATTTGCAGGTAAAAACTGGCAGTATGGGAAGATTCCGAGGCAGTGGTGTGGGGAAGGGCGAGACAAAACTCGACAAATTCCTTGTATGTGAGTAGAAAGCTGAAGACCCAGGCAGCAGTCCCTGAAACAACTCTGGTACCAAGTACAAGGACAGAATATAAATGGTAATGTTGTAAAAAGGACTCTGGCAGTCACCATTTTTGGCTCCACTAGAACAGATGAGTTTGTTTCGGTTTTGTTCTTTTTTACTTGCAAATTTGGATTATTTTTCTCTGATGCAACATCACATTAAAGTCAAGTTTGGGAGACTAATACCACAGCCAACCTCCACCTTCCCTTCCTTTCCTCCCCCTTTCCCCATCCACCGTAGCAGGTGCAAGCGTTCCAGGCTGACCGCTCACCTCACTGGCAGTCTTGTTGCCCAGTTTCTGCGAGATGGCGTGGAAGGTTTCCAGATGGGCCCCCTTCTCCTGACAGGTGGTGAGGATGACTCTGTCAGCCTCCCTAGAAAGCAGTACAAGAGTTGTGAAAGCAGCCAAAAACAAGCACAGCCACCCTGCAGCCACCAGGAGCCTGAGAGGGCTGCGGCCAGGACAGGACAGGCACCACAGAGCAGGCCCCGTGGCTTTTTCTTTCACTGCCATCACCACGCACAAGACAGACCACTAAGCAGAGCTGCGTTTAGCCTGTTCTAAAGCTTTTTTGAAGGAGGAAATAAAATCTTCCCCAGCGTGAAGTACTGCAGTAATGACACTGCCAAGAGCAGTCAGCACTTCTCATAGGACCGTCTGTGGTTCAAGGAAGCAAGGCAGGAGCACTGAAAGGGAGGGGCAGAAGACAGCAGAAAACAGGAATAACAAAATGAAAATAAAGGATACTCTGTAACGTGAAAGCTGAAGCCAAATACTGAATACACAAAGGATGCAAGATGCAGTTCTGGCAGAGGTACCTGGTCCAGAGGACAACCTTCTCCCCAGTTGAGCTGACTTTGCTGTTCTTAGCGCACACGGTTGCTTCTGTCACTCGCTGCTGTTGCTGCTCCTCTTCCTTTTGCCCCAGGGAGGCAGCAGCCGCTTTGAATTCGGGCTGCTCAGAATGCTGACACACCTGGACGCAGTTGTTTGCATCTGGCTTTAATCTGCTTTCAGGAGAGCTTCCAGTGCAGCGCACACGATTTGCTTCCACATTGTCATTATCAGGGCTCAGTGTTGGTTTTCTACCCGGTGTTATCCAACCCTGCTTTGCTTCAGGCTCTCCTTCCAGAGGCAAAGGTGGTCCCTCAAATTGTTTCACACCTAATTTTGAATTGTGACCAAAGACAGCGAGTTCATCTGATGAATCGGAAGGAAGCCCATCAGTCTGACATAAACTCTTCCTTGAAGAGGCACTGGGTGCTGTTAAACCTTTCACTGTAGCAGCAGATGGCAGCAGATCTCTGCTCCGCCCAGGGGAAGCATCTGCGTTTCCTTGGTGCTGCTGCTGTAGTCCCTCACTCTCAGCTCCCGCAGTGCAAGGGCAGTCTTTGGTTTCTTGAGGTAGTTTTAGAGTAGCTTTTTGTAGATGAGTCCATCTGGGGCCAGCGACAGAAGAGTCGCTGTCCTTCGAGGTATTCACAGCAGCACTGGCACCCGACTCCTGAACCTGGCTATCAGGCGCTACAGCTTTTTCTGAAGACGTGTGTCTGCCAGAGACAATCCTTTCTTCCAGGTGAGATCCTGGTAAGAAACCCAAACAAGTTTAGACTAGGTGCTGGTAAGAAAAGCTTCCAGAGGCTTCATTTCCTTTAAGAAATTTTTTAATTTTTTTTTGTTATTCTAGAACATAATGCTGTAAATGAAAACAGAGTCTGAGAGCAGCTGTGTAATTATACCTGCAGTTTACTCATCCTGTACCTCAAAGAAGGCACTCTGCAGTCAATTTTCTCCTCTGCAACCAGCTGCCGTGTTAAAAAGTGATGAACACATGAGAAAGCTTAAGTGCGCTGCCCAGAACAAAATTCTCAAGTGAAACAGGCGTTGCTGCTCTTGGTGCCCTACTTAGAGAACCGCTATGACCTAGACATCAGGTTGCATTGCATTTAAACCACTATATTTAACCTATGCATTGCCTGCAATAGTAGCATTAACTGAGACATGGTTACTAAAAGAAGGAAGAGATCTCTACCGCAGGTTGTTTATCCTGCAGTAATCACATTTACTCTTGAAGACTGAAGGAGAAACAAGCACCACGAGGGAAATCATTTAAAGGAAGATGAGAGAGATGGCAATTTTGAATTGCTGTGCTAAAATGAAAACTGGAAAGAACCAGAATCATGGACTGGTAGTACTGGGAATCAGATCAGTATGCTATCAAGAGAAGCTTAAATGGACCAACCATTCTGAAATGGGGAAAACATTTCCCTAGTTAAGAAAGCTTTTATCTATCTATCTATCTATCTATTTATTTATTTAAAGGGAATGCTCTGGATATATGCATGTTTAGAGCATCCAGAGTGAACGAACACAAGGAAAAAATGAAAAAAGTTATTAGAAGTTCTCATTATCTCCACAAATTTGCATTAGAAAGTCCTACACCCGTTTTCTCTTGTGTGAACCAGTTCGGAGATGGATGACAGACCTGTCTGCACACAAGGCTGCCACATACCTGAAGCCAAAGAGTCCGCTTTCCTGGACACGGTTTTAGTTCTGCTCTGGACCTCCTCTCCCTCATCCCTGTTCTCCCGGCTTTCTTCTGCAGGTTCCTTAGATGCTCCAGAATCCTTACCTTCACGCCGAGGACTCGACTCTTGTTGAACAAGGCTTGCAGTCAGCTCTTGAGAATCTTTATGTTTATAAAATTTGTTTTCACACACCTGGAAATCAATATACAGGCACGCAATTACAGATGTGGTATACCAACCTGAACCTAACACCTCGGCCTTTGCTTCCACAGTGTTCCTTGACCCGAACAAAGGCTTCAGTTTGGCAGCATGTTTGCATTTAGAAAGCTGAATCTTTTTTATTATGAACAGGTAGATCTTTCCACATAGTGGCCACACAAGCATCCTCCACTAAAAAAAAGCTTATTTTAACTCAGTATCAAAATTAGCACTATTTAGCATAGCAATGAGGGGCAGTAGAAAGTGAGCAGGAGATAGACAGGGGACAGCCAGGTAGTGCAGTCCGAGCTCCCAACAGAGAGACACGGCTCGTCACCTTTTGATTTACTTTCTCCTTCAACACACGATTTTGGGGACGCGAAGCCTGTGGCTGGACAGATCACCACAACGAGGGGACTCTTGGCAGGGCTGGACCTTCCACTCACCGCTCCAATGACTTGGCCTATCAACTAACCTTACTGCTACAATGGCTGCAGGTCCTCCTTTTGCTTTTCTTTAGCTTGAGATCGCTACTCCCTTCATGGCAGGAACATGAGCATTCCTTCATCCCATCTACCCACTCGACCTCCTGCAAACAGACAGACTCCAGCTGACAAACGCGCACGGTACAGGAAGATGAGAGGCAGGGCAAGCTGAACCCCACAGGGAGCCAGGAGGGGGTGGGTGGCTCTGCGCACACAGAAAACTAAAGCAATTATACTGCTAGCAAGCAAAGCACAATGAAAACATTTCTTTAAGTCTTTTTAGTCTGTTGTCATGTCTCTCTACGACACATTTATCCTCATGGGCATGCGTTTGCTCAGAGTCCAGATACGTGGTCTAGTGAGATACCCCAGGCCCACCTTGTCATTGTTCTGGCCTCCGATATCTTTCCGCTTCTTATTTTTTGAGGCTGCGTGCATCTTGGGCGGTTCATCCTCCTCTTCTACATCTGGCAAAGACACCTCTTCAAACCCATCAAACTACAAAAAAAGAAACATACAAAAACTGCTCTATTGCGATAGCTCTTCAGCAAAACAAACTTAATTTTCCCCATGAATTTCTGAATGTTGAGCTCAGTTCCAGGACAAGACAAGTTCAATTACATTAGAAGACACACAGATGCTACCAATGACTATCCCACCCTGCTG